TATGTTGTGTAGCAAGTTTGAGTTGATTCCGATCAAAATTGGATTTTTTTACAAATTTTTAAAGTTGGTCCAAAATCAGGTAAAAGTCCCTGTACTATATAGTACAGCGTCTCAAGCCAAAAATTGCCAAAAATGAAAAGCAGAGAATTCTTCATTTTCATCACAGTACATGTACATGTATACACAAGTACATGTACATAAATAATTACATGTACATGACTACATGTACACATTAGTTATACTCCGGCCCTTACCTTAGTGTGAGAGGTACAGAGTCTTGTCTTTATCTTAATGAGAATAGCTACACTTTCACTTTCAGTCTTCAAGGCATTCTTTAACTTATCAATTGCTTCTTCAAACCTAATAAAAAAATAAATCAAATAAATAAATAAATAAAATATTATATCAATACCGTTCCTCCTCCATCATCTTTCTGGCTGCCTCCAACTGCTTCACTAACTTCTTTAATTTCTAATAAAGAGACACAGAAGCAGTATGACAGAGACCCCATTATAATACACAGTCCTTACTTTATAGAGTGGGTAGCAGTCCTTGTGATCCTGGTCCAGTTTAAGACACTCCCTGATCTCCCTCAGGCTGTCCTCCTCCTCTCCTAACTGATAGTATAAGGAACTGATCTTATAGTAACCCTCTGTATTGTCAGGGATCAGTTTAGTTAACATCCTAATGGAGAGGAATGGATGGAGGAATAATAGTAGTAGCAGGTCTTATACAGTATAATGTCATTGATAGTACATGTATAATAGACAGGTATATTGTACATTGGATCAGTTTAGTTAACATCCTAATGGAGAGGAATGGGTGAATGAAGTAAAGGTACATGCATATGTATTTAATGAGTTACATGTACATAGTAATAGCTAATGGGGGAAGGGATTTACATGTACACAGCTACATGCAGTTACTACAGATGGTCCTGGACGTGTTTTAAACTTGTAAGCTATTATGTACAAGTACATGCTCAATGGGAAGGTGTGGATTCAAATTCACCAAATTAAAACCCACCAAACAACAAAAAATTAACAATTCACCAAAATTTTACCACCTCCAAAATTACCATCTATACATGTACAAGCACCACTTATAAAAGTACCAGTACAGCCACCTACTTGATGTCACTGATAGCTGACTGATACTGCCCAGTCTGTTCATAGTATACTGCTCTAGCTGATCTCAGGTGAGGGTACCAGGGAGACAGTTCGATTGATACTTGTAACTGATGGAGGAGGTCCTCA